TTTTTTAAATAAATAAATAAAGCACCAAATGATCATTATTGAGTGGATGTGCTTCTCTTTACTCAAACAAACAAACAAACCAATGTTAACTCCTGTTTTGTGTTAGATGCGACCTTCGTCTTACATTTTAACAAAGAAATGGAAGATAAGTGCTTACATTTTTTTCCCCAGCAAGTTATCATCCGTGCCTTGCTCTTGTCACATTTCATGGAATGACCCATCTAGCTGCGGGCTCCACGGCCCGGCAATGTGCTACATTGTTGTTACATGTACAAGCTGAATTATAATATATTAATGTGATGAGTCATGTTGTGTGTAGTGTTGGGTAGTTTCAGTTTGAGGGTATTTTTTAAAAAATGGGGAGGGGTGGGGGGGGGTGTAAAAGGTCATGTTCTTTTTTTAATAATAAAAAAGCAACTAATTTGTTGTAAACAGTTTGATGGGCCAGGTGATTTGATCTGCCCAGTCGCCTCTCCTCTGTGGTGTCACTGTCGTCATTTAATCTGTCTGTGGTGACATGATGGCCGTCATTTAATCTGTCTGTGGTGACATGATGGCCGTCATTTAATCTGTCTGTCGTGACATGATGGCCGTCATTGGCCTGTCTCCTCGTCAGCTGCCGCTCGACCGTCAGTGTAATTTGATGGCTCTGTTGTTTGTACTTGTGGTGGTGTTGTATCGTTTTCTCCAAAAGATTTCGTTACGTTTTCAGGGGTGCCGATTTTCCGGATAAAACCTGAAATCCGGAATACTGAAGTTGTCCGGTTTTTGTCTGACTTGTGCATGTCATGTTGCACTCAGTATTGAAAAAGAAGCCTTGATACAAGGTGTATCAGACAGCGTTGTGAAGCGTAAATGTTGAGTCCACTCGCATGTGGTTCCACAAGGTCCGAAAAGTTCAAGATTTTAAAAATTATAACCGTTTGGCCCCGCTATGTTTTGTTCATATGTGTATCGAACGTTAACAAATCTTTTATAATAATATTCCCCTGCAGTATGTTTTCAAGTTTTGTTTTGACCCTAGTGGGGAAAAAACCCATGGGGATGAGGGGAAAGTATGATATCCAAAACATGCAACTCTTCTCTCTCTCTCTCTCTCTCTCTCTCTCTCTCTCTCTCTCTCTCT